AGGGGAAAGGAGCCAAAAAACTTCCTTGGCTAAACAGGGAAATCCAGGGGAGCAGGATGGGTGGGGCTGGGGATGAGGAAGAGGCAAGGGTGGGGGGAACAGGTCAGGAATCAGATGAGGGATGGGGCTGTAGCACAGGTGGAAATCAGGACAGAATCAAGCAAGGGATGGAGTGGCTGTGTGGTCAGGGATTGGGTGGGGGAATCAGGAGGGGAATGGAGCAGCAGCAAAGGGGGGGATCAAGTCAGGGAGCAGGGGTGGAATGGGACAGCAGTGCATTACTGCCAGATAACCCTTACCTGCTCTGCTCAGAACTTCAGGTAAAGACATGGGGTAGAAGCATGGGCTAGAGGACGTGGTAGCAGAGCATTGGGGGATGGGACAGCAGCCCACTGGGGGTTCAGGCAGCTGCAAGGGCAGGGGTGGGTAAATATGCAGCAGAAGCACAGGCTGAGGGGGCAAGTGGCAAGAGGAACAGGGGACAGGCAGTAGGGGCACAGGCATGAGGGGAAGTTGTGAGGGAGCAAGGTCTGAGGGTCTGACTGCCTGCCCTTCCTCCCCTATCCTGCCCCCGGTAGTTGGGAACAAATTAAAGACAACTCTTTACTAATTAGATCCTATACATGGAAAAATATAACAAATGTATAATTTCCCATGTATAGAATCTAATTAGTCAAGGGAGGTCTTAAATTCAACATTGTATTGGATTTGGGTAAAGATGGTAAATCAATTTGGTAAATTTCTGTACCTATAAAATAGGTGAAAATGGAAAATTACAGTAATTGAAGCTTCCAGCTTCACTACAAAAATGCATATGAACCTTTGTGGGTCTGAACACCTGGGTGGTTGCTACTTTTCACACAGAAGACAAACTACTAAGTACAACTCTACCCTGCCACATGCCAGATTTCAGATTAAATGTAAGAGAGAAGGCTAACTCCCTCTCCTACTTTTCAATCCAGCTAGATTTAGCAGATAATTGCTTAACAATTCATCATAGCAGAACTGTTAAGCAATCCTTAGTCTCTAACTATGCAAAATACTTCCCTTTTCCCTAAAGAACAGTAAAAACATACAGGACGGGTATTAATAACTGTATTAATCAAATCATAAACAAATGAATAGGCAACAACTTCCAAAAAATCAGTATTTTAAGTGTGTCAAGAAACAATGTAAACTGATAAGATGTTTTTCTTTTCAATCTTAGAAGAAAAATCCTTTCCCCCAATGGAAAAATCAGAAAGTAGGGATTTTTTTAAATTTTATTTTAAGGCCTATGAATACAATATTTATAAAAAAAATTTCAGAGTAACTACTTTATAAAAAGCTAGGAACATTTGAATTTCTGGCCCTGACAGATTTCTTTCTTTTTAAAGAAGAAACCTTTCACCTCCGTTCTGCCACAAAGGGACTAATGAGTCAGAATGTTATAATTCAGAAATTCTTTGTCCAATTCACTACAAGAATTGAAGAAATGCACAGAACCTGGAAAGAATTTACCATACTACCATACACAACCTATGCCAAATCTTGTCTTTTTTCCCCTAGCCAAACATCTCCTAGCTTTTTCTGAATGAGCCAGCCCTGCTCCTGACTTCTCAGGCTTTTCATCTGAGTCCCATTCCCCTGGCCTATCAGATGCAAGTCTGCTTTCTGGACCCTTCACCCCAATATTGTCTCAGTTCAGCCATTTCTCACCCATGCCCAATACTAGCCCTCATGGCCTAACCATTCCAATTCTTCCACCTTCCAAACCCAGGGAGTCCCAGTTCCCTTGAACCAGGCTCCTTGTCTAATCTGACTCCCTCTCCTCCCCAGTTTCTAGTCGCATCCTTTGCCCACATGCACTACGACCAATGGCTTCCATTCACTTTATTACATAAAATTTACATAATTAAATGAGAGGTAGGTGATAGGAGTAAATTCTTGCACAGCTAGATGTCTATCACCTTATTGTAATAGGAGTTAGTAATATTTTAAAGATGGCATTTAGCTGTTTATAAATTTAACATTTTGCAGAGAGGGCTTTCTTAGATTGATTTTTGTATCAATCCCTACTACCTAACCCTCTTGTTTAATTATGTAAAAGTTACAGCATTTCTATTTTCTGTTAAACATGGGTTAGTGTGATGGGTAGAAAGGCTTTAGCATCACACATCTGAGCTAACTGAGCTGTATCCCAAACTCAGGCTTATTAAACAACACCTCACCAACACAGAATATATGCATTACTGTGTATTGAAACAAGGCAGTCTCAGCACAAGGCTCTTCTACTCGAGATAAAGGACCTAGATTCTTAGTGAGAATCAGAACCAAACCCACAATCCTCTAAAAAATCATTAGGGAGAGACAAAGAGCCACCCTTTAAGTATGGGTTAAATATTCTTCTCATTTATTGTCACTTTCAGGTTAACATTAGATCATTATTTTAATTTGGGCTGCAAGCTATTCTACCTGCTATTATAAATATTAACATGTCTTCAGGGAAAACAATATTGTACTTAATTTTTATCCTGGAGAAAGACACATGTAGCAAATGATTATTATACCTTACAGCACAGTTTCTACTATCATATTCAAAACAAAACTTTTACATCCCTTTGTAAAAGTAGATGTAATATTCTGATCTAACATTCATGTACGAGAAGTCCCACAGCTACAGTTCAGCAATGAATGGCAGTTTATTATGATTCCCTTCCCCACCCTTAAGTATTTAATTCATATCTAGAAATTAACTATAAACACAGCTCAATCTTACCTTGGGCCACTTCGCTTCCTGAACTGATTGGTGCTACACTCCAAAGTGTCTGCTGGAAGGCTGCATCAACATGTAAGCTACCATTGCCATAAGATAAATGCTAAAACAAGGAAAGAAATGGTACTTATAGCTCAGGGTATTTACAAAACATTTTTAGAATTTAATAAAATCATTAATTTAATAATACTCACATACAGTAATAGTTTCCATGCACTTTACATGGCAGATTTATACATAACCCTTTTTGCAGGGATGCATTTGTGACTAATACAGAAGAAGAAAGATGAAGAGGCCTCCTTTTTTTTTTTTTTTTTTTAATAACATTTCTTCCATTTATATAATCATTATATCTGGTGCCTATAGGTTTATTTCAGAACCCTCAATTCTTGATATAAAAACATCAGTTCCTATTTTAGGATTGGCCAGATTTGATTTGAATCTGCAGAGCATGAAGAATGTGCATTACCAGTTACCACAACCACTAAAGCAAAAAAGTCAAAGAACTGCATCCTAATAAATGATGGGCCTTCCTTCAATGACAGAAGATGTGCAACTAATTAATTATACTAATCAAAACATGACGGGCCAAGGAATTTTCTATGACAGTGAGAAAAAGACAATCCTTCTAAAGAACACAAAAAAGGAACAAGAGTTAACCAATAATAACTATAAGTGAGAACATGCATTATTTTTCAAGATCTTTATAAACCGTCTTACAGTTTTATTTGGCAGTAGTGTAGATCACAAATGCATCTCATGACTTTATGACATCTAAGAATGAAAGGTGCTTCAGGTGCTTTTAAGGTGCTTGATCAATATTCAGTGCTATTACACTAGACATTTGTTACATATCACCAGCTGACAATACAGAACAGAATAAAACAGAACAGACACAATTTACAGACAGTTCCTAAATGGGAGGCAGCAAGGCTGATGAAATTTTATTACCTGTTTCACCAATACCAGTTTGAGGGTATGTCTACACTGTTATTTAGGGTCAACACTCAATCAACCCAGACCACCCAAATTAATCCTCACAACCTCTATCTTACCTTCTGGCCCACATCAAATCCATCTACACTGTGCTTTCAGTTTCATGAGCAAAGAGCTTTTTAAGGAGTCAGTCTCATCTCTCCTATATCAGGTTCCAGGTACAAGCAGAAAAGAAAAGAGGTGGGATGTTGAAGGGACAGAAGGCAGGGGAAGGATGTTGTGAGATTGCTGTCGGCAGACATCCTGTGCTGGCAGTCTGCTCCTCAATCCACATTGCATGGAGGGAAGAGTAGATGAAGCTCCACCTCAGAACTGAAATAATCAGATCTTCCAGAGCCAGGCTGAACTGTGCTAGGGTCAATCTTAAGCATACTCATAAAGTATGTGAATGAGAGGCCCATACACTTGACCTTATATATCAGCATAGTTATATCCTGAGTGTTCAGACTGATGGCTACTAGGGCTGTGTGATGCTTCAGTTATTGATTCAATTCGGAGGAGATTTGGCCTAACTGGGCAGCCGAATCTCCAAATTCAGATAGAATCAGGAGACCCGTTAACCTCTCCAAATTGTATCGGAAGCCTCCAATTCGATTAGGAGAGATTCAGAGAGACTCGACTATTCAGCCATAGACACAGCTTTATGTGTTTTTTCTACATACCTCGAGGTACCAGGCATGGCTCATGAATAATGAGACGGTGGGGCACATGGAGCATCCCACAGGAGAACACAGGGATCCCCTGCACGCTCAGTGGAGGACCCAAAAGTGGACCAGAACTGCTTCTGGTCTGCTTTTGAGTCTGCCGCAGAGCTCGTGGAGACCCCTACACCCTCCAGCTTGGCAACTGGTGCCTCCTGGGTCTGGTGGGGTACCCAGGGTCCCCCCACGGCCAATTGCCAAGCCAGAGGGACACGGGGGGGGGGGAAGTGTCCCCCGCACACTTGATGCCAGACCGGAAAGTGGACCAGAAGTACTTCCAGTCCACTTTCAGGTCCGCTGCCAAGAGCGCACTCCCATGGGATGCTCCACCCACTCCTCCATCTCAGTGTCCACGAGCCATGCCTGGTACCTCAAGGTACATAGAAAAAACATAAAGCTGTGTCTATGCCCAAATGGCTGATTCTCCGAATCAAAACAGAATCTTCAGATTCAGCCAAATCGAATCAGGACAGTGATCTGAATCAGCAAATCAAATCACTGTCCCCCGAATCGGGCTGAATCCGAATCAAATACTGCCCGCTTTGCACACCCCTAATGGTTACCTTTTCATTTCTGCATAGGGGTTTGGCACTTGCAGATTCCTCCTCCCTGTTTAACACAAACTTGGTAGGCAGTGATATACCACAAGTCCTTCAGGCCCCCTTTCACAAATCAGTTATCAATCAGGATTCCAGTCCCTTTGCCAATCTACATCTGCTGCATTGGTTACCGAGTTTGCTCAGTATCAATGTTATGCAGCTTCAAGTGCTCACTCTTAAATCTTCCAGGAACATAATATGTTATAAAGAGCCTGTTATGAAGAGCAAAAATGTGTATGCATAAGGGTAGAGCCAGAAAACAAAGGAAAATACTCTTCTGAGTCAATTAAATGAATGACGAAAGACTTTCATACTGTTTGCATTAAAGAATATTGAAGACATGGCTAAAATAATTGAAATAATTAGTCTATATTTGCATTAAAAAGAAAGATGGAAGGATAAATGATTACGCAAAACATAGTGATGCTTTGTGCTCTAAATCAGGGGTCAGCAACATATGGCATGCAAGTCTGATCTGGCCCACAGAGCCACTGGATCCAGCCCACATACCTGACTGGCTTTGACAGTGTTTAAGCAGTGGGTGGATGAGGTGTTAGTGGGGATTTGGCTGCACTGCAGCTGAGCAGCAGAGAGTAGTAGCAACAGGGGCATCTGGGACCTTGGACCTGAACCAGGTTATTCCAGTTCACCACTGCAAAACCTTGTAAACCCTCACTCTAAAACAGAGCACAATTTTTTAGGAAACTGTTACTAAATGATGCCAAGACTCTTTCAGTAGAATATTTCACTTCTACAAACAGCGAAATGGACCAAAGAGCCTAGGAACTGGAGACATGTGCTCACTCAAATATTTCAATTGCAGGTCACCATCCTTCTGGATCGTGCAGTCTTTCTTCTGGGTCATGGATACAAAAATATTGACTAATCATTTAATTTGTGTAAGATGCACAGAAACAGATTCCCAGAAAGGAATGAAGCCCAATGGATTCACACAAATCTGAGAGAGCCACCAGTGACAAGAATCATGCCTGTCCTGGGAAACTGAGGGATGGCTATTTATGGATGTGTGTGCCCTTACTATAATATTGTGTGATCTGTTTTGCAAAGCTACTTTATGTCCCTGGGATGAGCAACTAGTCCACTTACTTCTCTCAGATTTTATGGCCCTGTACACCCAATGCGCACCCTCCTGTATCTGATTCTGTTTTTGCTACTTTTCTAAATAGTGCAGTCGTATTTTGCCAGCTGAAACTTTCTAATTTTAAAGGATGTAGTTTATTAACTTCAAAAAGTTTGCATCCCACACACTCAGAGTGAGTTTCATTAATATGTATTTTGCGTCTCTGGAAATGGTGTAATAGCTACTGATGAAACACTGAGAAATGTAAATTCTGTAAAGTACTTGGATTTTAAAAGTGTATTATTTGCTTTATCAGATAACAATTCTTCATGTATAGTAATATTTGAACACTTTTGATAGAAGTATATTTCAAATATTTGGATTGTAACCATATCAAGGTGCATTGGATTGCTTTGATATCAAGGTGACCGACATTGGAACATCCTAAACTATGTTATCTCAGGCTAGAAATAGACATCCCCAAATGGAGCAGATCATCTGTACTGGGATGAGTCCAGAGACAGCTGATGCACTTAACTGGGTAAAACTCATCACCCTTTGTTCTGCCCCTTGATGCTTCAGAACAATAGGCGATGTATTCTCCCAGGGCTTGAGGGGCCTGGTCCTATGCACCCCGGGAATTCCTGTGCAGGATCACAACCCTCAATCCCCAGGAGTGCCTGCCCAGCTTTCCCTGCTTACAAAGACATGCTCTGGGAAAGCCCAGGGCATGTCTCTGTAAGCAGGAAAAACTGAGGTTCCCACTTGCAAAAATGTGCCCTGGGGAATCTTGAAGCAAGTCTAAGTGGGGAACCCTGGCTTTTCCTGCTTATAGAGATGTCCCCAAGTTTCCCCAGAGTGCATCTCTATAAGAGGGCAAGTGCTCCCAGGGCTTGAGGGACCCAATTCTGAACAGATAGTCCCACAAAGCATACAGATGTCCACCACTAAACAGCAGCACAAATTAATAGCACCTTTGTCACAACCATAAATTCAGGGCATTTGTGCTAAGACAAGGGGCATGGACCCCTGTTTGTTTGGCCTTTGTGCTGCCATAATTTTTTTTTATGGTGACAATGAAAGGCAATGTCTTATTCCACCCTTAGGTACTTATCTAGGTACAACAGAATATTAACTACAGGGAGAGTAATGTAACTTTTACATTTTTATATATATTCATTGTGTCTATATTACACACAAAACCTCTGCTACTCTACCTTAAACAGACTAGAGACTCAGAAGGGAGACATTTAAAAGACTGATGCTAATGGAGACACTTTTGTTTTCTGTTCTATACCACCTTCAGGATGAAATTATTAGCACTATACAAAAGTAGGAACTGTGCTGGAGGTCAAAAAAAGTAGTTCCAAGTAATCAATGAACAGCCTTTCCAACCACATATTTTAAAGCTACATAAAAATGCAACCATTGCAAGTCTACCCACTGCCATGCCACTGAAATAGATCAGGTAAAAACAACTAATGCAACAAGACAATCTCCTATTTTTTCCACAGGATCTGAATCATTCAGTGAATAGAAGGGTTGGTGCTCAATGAATAAGCAATAATAATGAATAAAAAACTACTCCATATTTTGTTTTCTCCTTGTTTAGTATGGAATACTTTTGCCTCATTAGCTACATGTTAATCTAATCCCACTCTGAATGCAAAATTGCTAATTCCTTTATGGTCTTTTCCTGTGCTTTCTCATCACAAAAGTATTTGAG